ATTTAAACTTTGACCCCCTCCAGTTTTAATATTTGTTTAAATAAATTTAAAATATTTGGTATTTTTAATTGTATCTAATAGGACTACTGTTTCTGCAAAATTTTAACCCGATCCCAAACATTTAAAATTTTGACCTGGGTCACTTAACGTGGAACCCGTCATAAACAATTATTAAAAAAAATTTCATTACTTGTATGTTTTTGCTTCCTCATAAAGGAAGCCTTATAGTGATGTCGATTTCCGAATTTTTTAGAATCAATTATTTTTACAAATTTTCAAGTGTAGTATACATAATTCGTCGAGAGGAACAAATGTCCGGATGTATGTGTGTATGTATGTGTGTGTGTGTGTATGTCACCGATTCTTGTGGACAAATTTTCTCTTACACGTCTTGACGGATTTTGATAAAATTTTGTAGGTGTATTACGGTCACGAATGCCAAAAATCAGACAAAAGGATTTTCAAAAATATCTAAAAAAAAAAATTTTTTCAACAAATTTTTTAATTTTTGAAAAAATTAATTTTTGGATTTTTTGAAATAACTTTTTTCTATATTAAAATTTTTATTAATTCTTGTCAAAATTGCATTCCTGACATAAAAACGAATCGATTCATGTATATAAAGTATATATTTTATCAAAATTTATAGAATTAATAAATATTTTAAATTTTCACAAAAAATTGAAATTTTGTATTTTTTGACATTTTATCTTAACACTTTAAAATAATCATTCTAAAATAAAAAATTAAACAATTGGTACTGTTGTATTTTATACTGTGATCCACGGTAAAGAAAATAAGCCTAACTTGATTAAAAAATATTCATATTTAAAAAAGTTACAAGGGTTTTTCTAAGTTAAACTTTAACTGCTGTTTTCTCGAAAACTTGTTTTCGCACGTAAGGTCCCTTTTCACTGTCCAGGTCACATATAATAATATATATTATTAATATATTTAATTATTTCTACTAAACATAACGTTTTATGTTAAACTTATTAGATTTTAGCAATTTTTAATGAGTGTCTCACAACTGGAGACATTTTTTTCTTTGACAAAAGCGATGTGCTCGGAAAATGTATCGTAAAATTTTTTGAGTTCATCGAAACACTACACTTTCTTTTAATAAAAGTTGCGTATTTCTGTTACCTTTCGAACGGTGTATTTTATTTACAATTTCGTTTACCCGTTTACAATTTACGGGTCAAAAATGAAACCCGTCTCACAACTGGAGACTCCCCTAGAAATTGAATTTGCCTCTCTACTGAGTCTACTTATTAACCCATTAACGCCCACCAGGACGCAAAATGTACCATGATTTCACGACTTTTATTTTGTATGAAATAATTAGATAAAAATTTTAGAAAATACCATTTTCGACGTAAAATTTATCGCTCTTTCGGAATATGAAGCTAAAATTTGTTTATAATTATCTCAAAAAAATTTATAATAATTTTATTGCAAAAAAAAAAACACTTTTTTACGAAAAAAAAATTTTCAATTATTATTTTGACATGGAAAACTAAAGAATATGGTCTCCAAAGCACAAAATATCGCGTCCTCGAACTCTCAGCTATAAAAATCCATAATTACTTTTTTTAAATTGAAGATGGCGGATATGAAAATGGCCATTTTTCTAAAATGCAAAAGGCCGAAAAAAAATTTCGGGTATGGTTTTTCAAAAGTTATTATATTTGCTTAAAAATGGTTACTTGGAGTTTTTTTGGGGTCGTTGATTACGAATCTGATGTTACTTTATTAAAATTCAAAATGGCGGATCCAATATGGCGGATATATTTTATAAAAAGTAATTGAATTTGCTTGAAAACAGTTGCTCGGGTGTTTTTGGGGTCGCTGATTACGAATCTGATATCACTTTTTCAAAATTCAAAATGGCGGATCCAATATGGTGGACAATTTTTTAAAAAGTGATTAAATTTGCTTCAAAATAGTTACTCGGGAGTTTTTGGGGTCGCTGATTACAAATCTTATGTTACTTTTTCAAAATTCAAAATGGCGGATCCAATATGGCGTACAATTTTTTAAAAAGTTATTAAATTTGCTCATTATACAATGATTAAAAAAGACTAACACCACATGTGGTTTGATTGAAAACAAGTGACGCACATATATATGCCACATTGAATGCACAATTTTTGTGTCTTTTTGTTGCGTTTTGCATGATAGTGGCAATATTTTTCGAGGCAAAATCCAAAAAAAAAATATAAATAAAATTAAAAAAAGTGGCTTTTTTTGCACGTCGACCTCCTTGTGGTAAGAGCAACGATAAACATAATATTATTCTGATGTTAGATTCGTAATCAGCATCCTCCGAATGACCATTTTCAAGCAAATACAATTACTTTTTAAAAAATTGTCCGTCATATTGGATCCGCCATTTTGAATTTTAAAGAAGTGATATCAGATTCGTAATCAGCGACCTCAAAAACCCCCGAGTAACTAATTTCAAGCAAATCCAATCACTTTTTAAAAAATATGTCCGCCATATTTGATCCGCCATTTTGAGTTTTAACCCTTTAATGGCCAGTGGGACACATACGTCCCACCTACTTCAAAAAATCATAACTTTCTTAAAACTTAACAGATTAATTCCACTGAGGTCTCATTTTAAAGGGGAGAGCGAGTGTAACAAATGCATATACATGCATTTTTTCAAAAAACTACCCTTTTTGAAATACACCCCTTCAAAAAAGGCAAAAAATCACAAGATTCAAAAAAACTGTATAAATTTAAGAAGAAAAATTTTTTTTCAGCTTCCACAATAACATATGTTTGAAAATATTTCAAATTTTGTAAAAAAAAATAAATAACAAAATTTAACCCCCTGGGAAAAAAAATTTAACGAAAACTACCCCCAAAAACCGAAAAATTTAAAAATTAATCAGATTCACCTGAAATTTATTACTCGGGGGTTTTCGGGGTCACTGATTGCGAATATGATGTCAGTTTTTAAAAATTCAAAATGGCGGATCCAATATGGCGACCGAAAAATTTTAAAATTCACTAGATGCGCGTGAAATTTGCCACTCAGGGGTTTTCGGGGTCGCTGATTGCGAATATGATGTCAGTTTTTAAAAATTCAAAATGGCGGATCCAATATGGCGACCGAAAAATTTTAAAATTCACTAGATTCGCGTGAAATTTGCCACTCAGGGGTTTTCGGGGTCGCTGATTGCGAACATGATGTCAGTTTTTAAAAATTCAAAATGGCGGATCCAATATGGCGACCGAAAAATTTTAAAATTCACTAGATGCGCGTGAAACTTGTCACACGAGGGTTTTCGGGGTCGCTGATTACGAATATGATATCAGTTTTTAAAATTTTGAAACTTTGGGTTAAAAATATCACTATAATTCTAGCTCTGGCTTTATTTCTTTTTTATTGCCTTGTTGATGGAATGAATAATATTTTTTAGAATGGTAATACCTTTAATAATAATAATAATAATAATAAAAAAACAAACCTCAAATTGAACTAAAGTTAAATGATAAAAGATGAAGTGTTATTTCTACCAACATTGTTTCTTACATACAAATTTAAATAGAAAGGTAGGAAACTTAAGTGTTAAAAGCTTAAAATTAAATGAATGGATAATAATAATCCCTTTTGTATATTTCAAACCACAAGTTCTAGGAATTAAGAAGTATTGTTTAATAAATTCCAAATACATAAAGTAGATAATAATAATAACTAAATTTCGATAATTCCATACAAAAAGATGTAGGAATTACTTACACATACTACAAGTAAAAAACGCATAAATAAAAAAGTAGATAATAATAATAATAATAATAATTTTTGATAATTTTAACGACGAAATGTGTAGGAATTAATTACGCACAATTAAAAAAACGTATTAATTAAAAGTAGACAATAATAAGTTTTAAAAATACCATATGACGAGATGTAGAGAATGTTGACGCACACAACAAGAAAAAAATGCATAAATAACAACTAGATAATAATTTTTTATAATTTCACACATTGAGATGTAGAAATTATTTACATACAGTACAAGAAAAAAAACGCATAATTGAAAAAGTAAATAAAAATTATAACAAGTAATTTTTGCCTATTCCATATGACGAGATATAGGAATTACTTACACATACTACAAGTAAAAACGCATAAATAAAAAGTAGATAATAATAATAATTTTTGTTAGTTCGATACGACGAGATGTAGAAATTGTTTACGCACACCACAAGAAAAAAACGCATAAATAAAAAGTAGATAATAAGAATAATTTTTGTTAGTTCCATACGATGAGATGTAGAAATTGTTTACGCACACTACAAGAAAAAAAACGCATAAATAAAAAGTAAATAATAAGAATAACTTTTGTTAGTTTCATACGACGAGATGTAGAAATTGTTTACGCACACCACAAGAAAAAAACGCATTAATAAAAAGTAGATAATAGTAATAATTTTTGTTAGTTCCATATGACGAGATATATAGAAATTGTTTACGCACACTACGTCGGTTTTACGCGTGAATTAACTGTCATGAAATTTTTTGAAGCAAGGTTCTACACAAAGAGGAACGTCGCAAACTTTGCACACATATTTAGTTCGAATTTCTTTTTCCTCAGTGCTGCAAAAGCGACATCGTCTACGAGATTCAATAGACTCCAATACATGTTTACCTAATTGATCTTTTCTACTTTCTTGTAAACGGTTTATTTTTTTCTCTACGAAATTGTTTGGGCGACCTGTACGTTTTCGATAAGTAGTATTTGATATTAGCTGTTTAGTTAAATTCACACGAAAATCGAGATGAGTTTTCTTAGAATCTTTATTTTTTACTTTGTACATTATAAACGAATTGACAATCGCTAAGTCAATTAAAAAATAAAAGATTCTATGCCACCACTTACGAGATCGTCTGCCGATGGAATATCTTTCTTTTAGTTGATCAAATCTATCAACAGCTCCCATGATTTTGTTGTAGGATGATACTGCAAGAGGACAAGACACATCTATTTTTTTCCAGTTTTAGTTTTCCTTTTTACAGCACTTACAACACTTGGATGATGCGCTGATGACAGAAGCGTCACTGGCTTTGCATCCATCCATTTTATAGCAGTAACAGCACCTTTTCTTTGAAATACGTACTCACCTCTTTGCATTTTCGATTTTTCCTTCATCATGTCAGGAAGTCCTATTCGATTCGCCCTTACGGTACCAACTGAGAAAATCCCTTTTTCATGAAGGCTAGATACAAGTTTCACAGACGTGGAAAAGTTGTCGAATGCTACCAAAGTGCCAGTGTTTTGAATGCCTTCCGTCAAATTCAGAACAACGCGTTCTAATGTATCGTTAGAATTTTTGTTTTCTGATTTACCAGTATAAATTTCGAAATTAGAAACAAAGCCTGTTACAGAATCGGCTAAGCACCAAACTTTGTACCCTCTTTTTATCGGTTTCATTGGATTGTACTGTTTTAGTGAAGAACGTCCCTTAAATGAAATCATAGATTCATCAATTGCAGCAAGATTGGAAGGTTTATAAACGTCTTTTATTGACCTATTCAATGCTTCGACTAAAGGCCTCACTTTATGTAATTTATCAAATCTTGAATCTCCTTTGGGAAAACAATTGTTATTGTTATTCAAGTGCAACATTGCAGTGATTTTTTGAAAACGATTTCGAGTCATGACGTTTGCAATTACATCTACTCTGAGAGCAGGATCCGAACTCCAGTACAAATCTACACTCGGTAATTTATGAATCGCCATAAAAACGTTCATTCCAATCCAAGCCTTCAATTCTTTTGCAGTCAAATCAATCCAATCATTATCGGATCCAGAGGACCTACGTGTTTTTGAAGATTTTCTTTCTTTTTGTGCAGCATATCTGTTAGTTTCTTTAACTATTTTAGTCAGTATATTCTCGCTGAAAATAGAAAGAAAATATTCAATTTCACAAGTATCGTTTGTCAAGTTAAACAAAAGTTCTGGATCCGTTTCAATGCCATTAAAAAGATTTAACCTTTCGGTGGATTTCGACCAATCTAGATCGTTACTAGCATTATCAGTGTCCTCAGTTTCAGATGATGAACTTTCTTCATCACATGAACTAGAGGTAACATCTGATTCTTCTTCTGATTCTATATCCCCTTCTATTTCAGAATCATCAGGATCATCTGGAAGTGAGGCTAATTTATTCGGGATCTTCTTTTGTCTACGCCTATTCATTTTGATTTATTTTTGGAAAATATAAATAAAATTCCAAAAATTTTGTGCAAAAGGCAAATTAATGAAAATAAGCTTGGAGAACGCTACATGCAGGAAATGAAACGACGCGCTGCTGGGGTCATAACAGCAGTTCCACATAGGAGTGTTTGTACTACTGTCGTACCCCCACTATCTCATCTACCCAATGCACTCCTCTCCACGACGACGCGCTGCTGGGGTCATAACAGCAGTTCCACATAGGAGTGTTTGTACTACTGTCGTACCCCCACTATCTCATCTACCCAATGCATTCCCCTCCACAACGTCGTGGAGAGGAGTGCATTGGGTAGATGAAATGATAATATGATAATAACCAGTAAAAATTATTTTTTTTATTGTTGAAAACTGAAATCACGATATAAGTTATGAATTAGGGGTGGGTTTTATTATTATTATATTTAATTATATATTTATATTCAATATCAGTACTTAGTTATCATAGAAATATTTTTTCATATTTTCGAAACGTATGGAAACAATGGAAATTATTTTTTTGATTGTTCAAAACTAAAAAAATTATGAATTAGGGGTGGGCTTTAAGGGTAGGGGTGAGTTTATTATTATTAAAGATATCTGTGTAATTTTTAAATATTTGTTTATAATTTAAAAGCAATTAGAATTTATAGATTTTTTTAATCATTTGTAAAAACTTTCACGACCGAGGGGTGGTAATTTGACTTAAAGGGTGGTTTTCTAGGGGTTGATTATCATTGTTTTCAATTTTTAAATATTCAGGGGGTTTTTATAAATAATTGTAAAGTAGATAGGAGCTGAAAAATGTTTAATTCTTCAATCAGATTAAATATCAATTTTTTGGGGTAGTAATTTACCATGGGGGTGGTTTTAAGGGGTGAAACATGTTAACAAAATTTTTTTTCTCATACTGAATACTCATACTGAATACCACAAAAAACTCGGCCATTAAAGGGTAAAAGTGATATCAGATTCGTAATCAGCGACCCCAAAAACCCCCGAGTAACCATTTTCAAGCAAATTCAATCACTTTTTAAAAAATATGTCCGCCATATTGGATCCGCCATTTTGAATTTTAATAAAGTAACATCAGATTCGTAATCAACGACCCCAAAAAACCCCAAGTAACCATTTTCAAGCAAATATAATAACTTTTGTAAAACCATACCCGAAATTTTTTTTCGGCCTTCTCCATTTTGGAAAAATGGCCATTTTCATATCCGCCATCTTGAATTTAAAAAAAGTAATTATGGATTTTTATAGCTGAGAGTTCGAGGACGCGATATTTTGTGCTTTGGAGACCATATTCTTTAGTTTTCCATGTCAAAATAATAATTGAAAAATTTTTTTTCGTAAAAAAGTGTGTTTTTTTGCAATAAAATTGTTATAAATTTTTTTGAGATAATTACACTACCGGTCAAAATTAAGAGACCACCCATTTTAAGGCGAATGAAAATAAAAAAAAAAAAAAAAAAAAATTTATAAAATTTTTTTTTTTTTTTTTTTTTTTTTTTATTAAATTTATAAAATTTATTGAAACTAAAATTTTTTTCCTTTTATGTTTTAAAAGATGATAACATTTTGAATAGAACAACATCTTTCAGAAATCGTTTGGCCAATAATTTATTTAGATATTTTTAAAAAATCGTCATTTTCAATGTTTTACAAAAATTTGAATAACTTCTAAAATAATGAACGCTTTTTAATGATCTTAGGCTTATTTTAAAGGTCATTTGCTACACTACAAGAATTACTTATATGCATTAACGTATAATTTTTTTCTTAGAAAATGCAGGCCATCAAACTTGGACCAAAAAAATTCAAAAAATTTGAAACAATCTTATTAACAGAAAAATAATTTTTAAAATTCAAACGTATTTTTTTTATTTAATTTTCTTAAAAACTCTACACCATATGATGTTTTATATATTTTCTAGAATAGTTTTTAGTACAGAAAAATTGTACCAAATTTTTTGAATTTTTTTGGTCTAAGTTTGAAGGTCTGCATTTTCTAAGAAAAAAATTATACGTTAATGCCTATAAATAATTCTTATAGTGTAGCAAATGACCTTTAAAATAGGCCTAGGATCATCAAAAAGCTTCCATTATTTTAGAAGTTATTCAAATTTTTGTGAAACATTGAAAATGAGGATTTTTTAAAAATATCTAAATATAATATTGGCCAAATGACTTCTAAAAGATCTTGTTCTTTTCAAAATTTTATCATCTTTCAAAAAATAAAAAGAAAATAATTTTAGTTTTAATACATTTTGTGTTTTAAAACGTTTTACAATCGCCTGAAAATGGGTGGTCTCTCAATTTTGACCGGTAGTGTATAAACAAATTTTAGCTTCATATTCCGAAAGAGCGATAAATTTTACGTCGAAAATGGTATTTTCTAAAATTTTTATCGAATTATTTCATACAAAATAAGAGTCGTAAATTCATGGTACATTTTGCGTCCTGGTGGGCGTTAATGGGTTAAAGAAATATAACCATAATTCGTTTTATGATACGGTAGTACAACAAAAACAGAATAGTATCTACTTGATCTCACAGGAAAATTTAAATTAATTAATGACAATTAATGTGGACATTGAATAAATCAACTTAAAATAACCTTATAAAAAACAACATGTCAGAGAAAAGTAACCTAGACGTGACCAAGGGAATGTTAAATGTAATACGTAAATTACTGTAGTCATGAGTGTGTCTGTCAAACGGTACATTGCACAGTGGGGCAAAATGACAAAATTTGGTTCAAATTGACTTTTAGACCACAATTTAAAACCAAATTAAAAAAAAAATTTCTCTAACGCAGAACTAAATTCTGAAGAGATCTGTGAGAGTCAATTTTTTATTTTTTGTTTTATAAATTTTTAATGTTTATGCAAAGTGTAAGAAATTTTTTTTTTTTTACATTTTTCGATTTCTTTTGCTCAAAAAAATTCTTGCATACTTAAAATTGTATACATTTAATGTCTGGCGGTGTGTAGGTAGTAAAAAAAAGTTTTTGCATTTAAAAATTGTTATAAACAATTACACTTTATAGGAAGTTATGTTTAAAAATAAATTTTTTTAAAAAGATATTTGCTTTAGATTATTGTAATTAAACTTTCTTTTTGTTAATCTGATATTTTCAAATAATTTGTCTTAATTGTTTAAACAATTTTTATAAACAATTGTACTGTAAGGACATTTTTGGGCAGAAATAAATCGAATTTTTTACGAATAATGTTTCATCTAAGCCGCCTAGAGATTTTCTTTGTAAAAAAGTCATTTTTTATTTAATGTTATCATTGTTATAAACAAATTATATAAACAATTACAGTTTTTGGGAAGTTATGTCTAAAAATTGTACTGTAAGGACATTTTTGGGGAGAATCGAATTTTTTACGAATAATGTTTCATCTAAGCCGAAAAGAGATTATCTTTGTAGAAAAGTAATTTTTCCATTAATGTTATCATTGTTATAAACAAATAATATAAACAATTACATTTTTCGGCAAGTTATGTCTGAAAAAAATTTTTTCCGACTTTCTCGTCAATAAAGAGTCGTACAACAGTTCTTCCTAGACCAAAAAATAATTTAGAAATGAATTTGAATTACTTCTGTCAGTTCTGAAAAAACATCAATAGATTATTTTTATTATTTTGACTTTTCAGAGTTTCATAGATTTTCACACATTTTGCGGACATTATTGAAAATCTATATTTTGAAATTAATCATTTTAACAAAAAACAAAGTTTAATTGCAATAATCCAAAGCAAATTTCATTTTAAAAAAAATTTTTTAGACATAACTTCCCGTAAAATGTAGTTGTTTATATAATTTGTTTATAACAATGATAACATTAATTGAAAAATGACTTTTTTACAAAGAAAATCTCTAGGCGGCTTAGATGAAACATTATTCGTAAAAAATTCGATTCATTTCTGCCCAAAAATGTCCTTACAGTACAATTGTTTATAAAAATTGTTTAAACAATTAAGAAAAATTATTTCAAAATATCAGATTAACAAAAAAAAGTTTAATTGCAATAATCTAAAGGCAATTTAATTTAAAAAATTTTTTTTTATACATAACTTCACAAAAAATGTAATTGTTTATATAATTTGTTTATAACAATGATAACATTAATTGAAAAATGACTTTATTACAAAGAAAATCTCTAGGCGGTTTAGATTCGTAAAAATTTCAAAATATCAGATGAACAAAAAGAAAGTTTAATAGCAATAATCTAAAAGAAATTTAATTTAAAAATTTTTTTTAGACATAACTTCCCAAAAACTGTAATTGTTTATATAATTTGTTTATAACAATGATAACATTAATTGAAAAATGACTTTTTTACAAAGAAAATCTCTAAGCGGCTTAGATGAAACATTATTCGTAAAAAATTCGATTCATTTCCGACCAAAAATGTCCTTACAGTACAATTGTTTATAAAAATTGTATAAACAATTAAGAAAAATTATTTCAAAATATCAGATTAACAAAAAGAAAGTTTAATTACAATAATCTAAAGCAAATATCTTTTTAAAAAACTTTATTTTTAAACATAACTTCCTATAAAGTGTAATTGTTTATAAAAATTGTTTATAACAATTTTTAAATGCAAAAACTTTTTTTTGACTACTTTATTTATTTATTTATTTATTCAAAAAATCGTTGTTCCTAAGGCTAATCAGCCTACCGAGGAACAAATATAGGTTACATTTTATCTTATCATTATAAATATAAACAGAATAATTATAATAATAAAGTATACAAAAGAAAGCAGATTGTTTTACAACGACGTAAATAAAATATAAATGAAAAAATCAAGAATATGAATATACTTATATAAATTGTGTTAATATCAAATACAAAAACAATACCTCACCAGTATGTTATATCGAACAGTTGACTGTTTCTCTTAAAAAGAAAGTTAAAATAAAGCCTTTTAAACAGTATTTAATCAGATACATCTCTTATAGAAGTTGGAATTTTATTCCAAAGCCTAGCACCTCTAACTATAAATGACCTCTGCAATTTGCAAGTACGATAAGGAGGAATAATTAGAACATTATTTCTTTCTCTAAGCCTACTTTTAGCTAACATGTCTGGACTTTTGAACTCAAAAAATTCAAAAAGATAAAGTGGAACCTTATTTTTAAATATTGAAAAAAGGATATTTCCAATAAAATATTGCCTCCTACAAGCCACGTTCAAAAGTCCAGATTTGATTCTATATTGCGTTATATGCTCAGTCTTCGGAAGGTCATAAACAAATCGAATACAGGCATTTAGCGCTCTTTCTAATTTAGTATTCAATTCATCCGCAATATCATCATATACAGCACAACAGTAATCGAATAAGGGAAGAATGAGTGATTTTACCAATAATAATCTAGTTGAAGTAGGACTAGTACTTTCACACCGCCAGACATTAAATATATACAATTTTAAGTATGCAAGAATTTTTTTGAGCAAAAGAAATCGAAAAATGTAAAAAAAAATTTTTATTTACACTTTACATAAACATTAAAAATTTATAAATCAAAAATTAAAAAATTGACTCTCACAGATCTCTTTAGAATTTAGTTCTGCGTTAGAGAAATTTTTTTTTATCCCACATGCACAAAAATGGCGCTTTTAGATAGCTGACGACATGCACCGAAAAAACTGTATTCTACTATTCAGAATATTTAACTTACTTCAAGAATATAAGAGACTTAAATAGGAGCCAAGAATATATTCTTAGATTAAGTATAGTGTATTCTTCTATTAAGAATATATTGAAGAATATTTTTCTCTTGTACAAAAATTATATTTAATCGCTTTAAGTATATTTTAAACTTAATCTTAGAACAATAGACACTTTTTTAAAAATCAATATATAGGTATGTATACTTAATTTGAAAGGTATAAAATTGTGCAATAAAATATATTTTGTATTATATTTTTTATTAAAGTTATTACAAAAGAACAATTATAGAGCTGTTAATTTCAGTCTATGTATAATACTGTTAAAGTTTACATTTTGGTCAGTCTTTATTATAATAATGTACTTAAAAGTATAAATAAAAGACTTTTATATCAACTTTCGAACAAATAAGACATAAATTAAATAATTTTAAACGAAGATAGATACAATAGAGAAAAATACAAGAGTATGCTAAAATTCGTGGATTTTAAAAGAAGAATAAAAAATTTGTTTTACCACAATTTTTACGCTAAACTCTTTTATATAAATAAATTTTAAATTAAGAACATAACAAAGAATTAAGATTTACCAAAAAAATGATTTGACGGTTTCAAAGCCGAATATTCAAAATCTTCACAGCCAATGTTTATAAGAAATGTAAATATTTCCGTCAGCCCCGAAACGTGGAAAACATGGGTAAAAAGATATTAACCCTTTGCGGCATGCATAACATTATGACATTAATTTAAAAATCACAAATGGTTATGAGGGTTTTCAGGGTCACTGATTACGAATCTGAAATCCGTTTTCCAAAATTCAAGATGGCGGATCCAATATGGCGGACGAATTTTTTTTAGAATTGATCGAAATCGCTTGAAAATAGTTACTCGGGGGTTTTCGGAATCGCTGATCAAGAATCTGAAGTCCGTTTTAAAAATTCAAAATGGCGGATCCAATATGGCGGACAAATTTTTTTAGAATTGATCGAAATCGCTTAAAACTCGTTACTCGGGGGTTTTTGGGGTCGCTGATTACGAATCTGAAGTCCGTTTCCCAAAATTCAAAATGGCGGATCCAATATGGCGGACGAATTTTTTTATAATTGATCGAAATCGCTTGAAAATAGTTACTCGGGGATTTTCAGGGTCGCTGATCAAGAATCTGAAGTCCGTTTTTAAAAATTCAAGATGGCGGATCCAATATGGCGGACGAATTTTTTTAGAATTGATCGAAATCGCTTGAAAATAGTTACTCGGGAGTTTTTGGGGTAGCTAATTACGAATCTGAAGTCCGTTTTCCAAAATTCAAGATGGAGGATCCAATATGGCGGACGAATTTCTTATAATTGATCGAAATCGCTTGGAAATCGTTACTCGGGGGTTTTTGGGGTCGCTGATTACGAATCTGAAATTACTTTCAATAAATAAACGTTAATTTATTGAATAATTGTACCGTCGGCATTTGCGATACCCGATGTACACCGCGAGGAGGTTGCACGATCGGACTTTGTACATCGTTTAGCTCTGAAAAGGGCAGATTGGTAAATACTGTTCAAAACTTTATAATAATCAAATTGAGCTGTTTATTTCCTATTATAATTAACTAATTAATTAAAATCAGCGGATTTTAATTGCTATTATAAAGTTTTGATGTGACTTGCTTTAAACAATTGAATTTTATTTTCAGCAGTGGTAAGCAGCGAAGCAATTTCTTGTGGGAAGCAGGCAGAGTGGTACATTGCAAGTTTTACACATCTATGATGTTCGCTTTTGGTCGGCTTTAGTACTGCAATGAGCGCAGCGTCTAGGTGAAGCGATAATTTCAGGCATATGAGGTGATTGACTTTTTCTTTTTTCCTCTGACACTTTTGGTTTGCAAGAAGAGATTGTACTCAATTTACGTTTCTTCCCAGTTGAACTTGATAGTTTGTGTCCTACCAATTCATCTACTAAACGTAACCTGAATTCTTTCGAAGTCAAAGTTGGGTTCAATCTCTTCTCTTTGTACAAAATATACGCATTGACACCAAGAAAAAAAAATTAGCCCTAATTCAGAATTATTTGACTGAACGCATACCTACGTTGATAATAACAAACAAAACATTATTCAGAGTTTGACAAAACAAATGAGAAGCGCAAAAAAGACAAGTTATAAATCAGCAATATTTGACTGAACGCATATTTACGTTGATTAGAACAAACAATAAACAAAACACTGTTGAGAGTTCAAAGACACTAAAATACTAACTGGACTAAAGCAAATAAATTTTGCTGAAAGCGAATTGCTTCGCTGCTAACCACTGCTAAAAATAAAATTCAATTATTGTTCAAAGCAAGACACATCAAAACTTTATAATAGCAATTAAAATCCGCTGATTTTAATTAATTAGTTAATTTTATTAGGAAATTAACAGCTCATTTTGATTATTATTATAAAGTTTTGAACAGTATTTACCAAACTGCCATTTTCAGGGCTAAACGATGTACAAAACCCGATCGTGCAACCTTCCCGCGGTGTACATCGGGTAACGCAAATTCCGACGGTACAATTATTCAATAAATTAACGTTTATTTATTGAAAGTAATTTCAGATTCGTAATCAGCGACCCCAAAAACCCCCGAGTAACGATTTCCAAGCGATTTCGATCAATTATAAGAAATTCGTCCGCCATATTGGATCCTCCATCTTGAAATTTGGAAAACGGACTTCAGATTCGTAATTACTGACCCTAAAAACCCCCGAGTAACTATTTTCAAGCGATTTCGATCAATTCTAAAAAAATTCGATTGCCATATTGGATCCGCCATCTTGAATTTTTAAAAACGGACTTCAGATTCTTGATCACCGACCCTGAAAATCCCCAAGTATTCAGTTTCAAGCCAATCTTATCAATTTTTTATTTCGTTGTCCGACATATTGGATCCGCCATTTTAAATTTTGGGAAACGGACTTCAGATTCGTAATCAGCGACCCCAAAAACCCTCGAGTAAAGTCTTTCAATCAATGTCGATTGAATTTAAAAAAAAAAATTTTTTGTTCTTTAATTTATTTATTTATAGTTGTTTATAATTTCACGTAACCTCATTTACTATCAATTTTTCGATATTCAACAATATTTTGATTATTAATAAACAAAGATTTTTTGATTTTACTTGAAAAAGACTGTATATAAACAAATATATTCAGAATATAAAAGGTGGTAATCTGGGTTACCACTATGCCGCAAAGGGTTAAATCGTCATACATTGTATAAGAATAATGAGCAGTTGGTAGAATTTCAAAACATTGTAAGTGATTATTAAATCCTACAGTATCAAACTTAGTTAAGATAAATCGAATTGTTTGATTTTCAGCAGTTGGTTTAAAAATCCAACATATTGCACCAAATTGAGGTAAAATATTTTCAATAATGAATGGTAAAATACAGCCTGATTTGTAAGATGTACCGCGAATGTTTGCTTCTCTAACTACTATAAAATTTTCCTGATGAGGAAGTAAGACATGCCGAAAATTCAAATAGTTATCGCAATCTATTAATCTAAATTCCTCAGAAGTTGTTGAAAATTCTGGCCTAAAACCAATTTTGGAGAAGAAGCGAGTTGAAAGGTTTAAGCAATATTTTTTTACGATAGTTAAAGGAAGATTTTTTCGACTAGTTGTATTTTTTTAAGACTGTTTTATAACCGGTCGATGTTTTCCCTCTAACCTCATTGTCCAAACGTGAATCAACGGACCAATTGTTTTTCTAACCAAAGGATGATGCACCATGTGGTGGTGTTTTGGTTTTAATGTGGTTCCAGACACTCTTAAATAGAATTCGTGATGTTCAGCAATTAATGCACACAGATAATCCGTAGAACTATCATCAACAACTGGGTCTAAAATAATACTTAAAATTTTATTTAAAAGAAGGTACAATTTCCATGTATCATCATCTTCAGGAATTAAATCACCTATCATTAATCCTAAATGTTGACAAAAAAATAACATTCCTGATGCATTCATTTTGAGCTTAAGTTTTTTAATGTGATTTAACGTAATGATAGATGGTTTATTTCCTGAATCAGGGCCATAATTGAAATATTGAACCCTCTCATTCAGAGTATTAATAGAAAAGTATTTATCAACACAAACAAATTGATATAAAACTGCGCACAAATCATAGTGACAGACACCCTCTAAATAATCGTGCATAATATCTATGTACTTATTTGAAATAATGTGAAAGGATTTAAGAACATTCCACATACAATTTGAATTTATTCCAGTGCTAGTGAAGTCATTAGTCAATACATCCCGTTCATAATTTTCGATAGTACGTAAACTTTCTACAACTTCCAATTTTTGAGTTTGAGTAATTACTCTATGATTCTTACAAAAGCGACAAAAAAAATTTGCGTTTAATGATTCGGCTAGTCCATTAATACATTGAAATCCTAAATTGTCCCCAGTTATTAAACACAATGCAAAATAAATTTGTATCCAAGGCTTTTACAGGAGTTCGCATAAGATAACGGGTGCTTTCAATTTGTACATAACTTGCCGAAATGTTCGAAATTGTTGGACCAACGAATACGAGTGTTGGTTGAAGTGGCAAATTAAGCTGCTTCAAGTAAGACGCATGATTTTGAACTGCTCTGTTAATGTCTCCAGGGATCTAAAATATTTATGTCTTTTAAATAATCAAAATAAATTTTACATAGAAAAAATAACAATAAGAACAATACGTACAGTAACGTGTAAAATAAAAATTTTTCTCGCTTCAGCAATGCTTATTACATCCGTAGAATTTTTTCCTCGAGCACGCCGAATTAATAATTGAGGCAAAAGATTTAATATTATTGCATCTTGAAGTCCTACAATTATAAAAACATTTATAATTTTTACTTTATTAATTATATAAAAAAAAACAATAAAAACCTTCAGGCGTTTTAGCATAATCATCAAGCTGTTTCAGTGTGTAACTGTCCGATTGCGATGTTTCCTTTTTAATTAAATCGATTATAAAAGCCTTGGACGTCTCCCATTTTGTAACAAGCCCATCTTCCCTGCCAGGATATAATTCCTTAAAGTCTTGGTTTAGCTAAACAATAGCAAAAATTTTCTATTTATAAGTAAACAATTACTAATCAAACATAAAAATTGATCTTATATTTTTACTAGAAGAAATAGTCTAGCAATTTTTGCCAACTGATAACCATTTGAAAGTGTCAGAACCGACCATTCATTGAAATAGTCCGTTATAGACAGTTCATCTGCTGCGTCGACTGAGGTTCTCGAATCTTTTAAGGTTTTGACTCTAAGTGCGTGTGTTCTCGACCAATTTTCAAGGATGCAAGGCCAAGATTCATGGTTTTCGTGTTTCAAACGAGCAATTGCATTTTGGATAACAGGATCGGCCTTATTAATACTTCCTGATGAAAAATTAAATCAATTTAAAAATCAACATGAACTTAATTTAATTTGTTAAAATTTTCAATTTTCTTACCTTCTAGTAATGCCGAGGTAGTAATATTTTTCTGTTTATATTTATGCAGATTTGAAAACTGGTTTTTTTTAAAGTAGAATCTTGTTTATTTAATAAATATTTAATATTTTTAAATTTATGTGCTAGTTTTCCATAACAAGTTCTGTGATTTTCATCTGGTACATTGTAATAAACTTCCTAAAAATGTTTTTAAGAATTGTTAAATTAAATTTAATCTTTTATTCATCACAAGAATTCAATTATTTTCAAAAGTAATAAAATTCTTCGAAGAATTTCAATTATTTTCAAAAATTTATCGCAATTCAAAATTCGTACCAAATATTGATTAAATTCCTTAAAAGAAATTAATTATTGTCTAAAGTTGGTAATAAAATTCTTCGCAAAAAATTAATTTTCAGAAACATTCAATTATTGAATAAATTATTTATTTTTGATTTTAAAAATGAATTTCAATAAAAATTTAATATTAAAAATAATTATTGCGTAAATTTTTAGAAATAATTGAATTGAAATAATGAAAATAAATTTGAAGAAATTAAAATAAATCATAGTTTCTATAGAAAAATAATAATGATTAAATATTTGTTTAAAAAAAGTTTTTGTTGTTTTCGAATAATTTTACAATTAATGAAATTCGTAAATAAATGTATTAAAACATTTTTCTCAATATTTAATCATTTTTAGAGTAAATCAGAAAATTCTTTAAAGTCAGGGAAAAAGTTAAAATTTTGTCTGGAAATCTGGGGGAAAAAATTAAATATTTGTTGCAACCCTATACTTATGTTCCTACTGTACCTGCTTCTCTTGAGGAAAAATGATACAAATCTTTTTAGCCGCCTCTAAACATTCAGACACTCTAGGGCTGAAAATAGAAATGTCAAATATAACTAAATATAACTAAATATATACTAAGTTTTAAAAAATATTGTTAATCTTACTTTGCATTGTGTTTCAAAAGAGCATTGGCAATAGCGCTACTGATCGCGTTTCTGTGAGTTTCGAGCAAACATCCATGAATGTTTTGATGATTCAATGCCAAATTGTAATTAGAGAGATAATCTTTACAATCCTATAAGTACAATTGAATTATATTATTATTTATACAAAAAAGATATTTTTTATATGAATTATATTTTTATACTTACTAAATTTTGTATGAATTCTAATGCAGCGAAAGAATGTAAATGTTTAGTGCTGCCAATAGAATTGTTATTTCTTTTTCTTTTTCGACAACTAGAGTCTGATTTAGGTTCATCTGATGTCGAATCAGAGCCAGAAGGAATTGCGGAAGAATTATTATTAGTTTCAGTAGAAACTATTGTAGATTCTGAATTTTGTGTTAACGTATGTTGACTTATTATTTCAAATTCAGAATCAAATAGTTGTAAAGGTGGAGAATCTGATATAACAAATTGATTCTGATAAATAAGATTTCCTAAAGGCGTTATGAAAACTGGTTCACTTTTATCTTCTCCTGGACTTTTATTGTCACTTAAGAACAAATTAGGCCTACTCTCACTTGCCTACAAAAAAATGCAGTAATTAATTGTATGTATTTGTTTGATTTTGAATTATTTTCAAATGCTTTTTTAATTTTTAATTTTTTTATTTCAATTAATCATAAATAAAAGTTTCTTTTCAACTTAAGTAAATTATTTTCAAGCTTAATCAACTTAAAAGAAGAATTTAGAAATCAATCACAACAGAATAATTATACTAAATATCGTAATTTCACATTTCAAAGAAAATAATAAATTTAACCTTTAATACATTTTTGTAGAAGCATAAAGAACTTAATTTTTAACACTTTAAATAATTTAAAGTTATTTTCGAATACATAATTTTTCGTTAACAAGAAATTAAAATTCTGTACCTTTTCACCAAAACGAATTTAACGAATTTAAATCTAACAATTATATCTTACTGACTAACGGTTTTAATTTTTATTTAAATAAAACTTATTAATTTGTTTAAAACGTTGCAAATTAAATTTTTTACCTTTTCACTAAAACGAATTTAAAATTAAATTTGTCTTTCCCTTCGAAAATACAAAATTATGACATTCGATTAACTTTCGTTTTGACGATTCTAAAAAAATTGTATTAGGTTCGATATAAAATATTTTTGTTAAAAAGAATGTAATTATATTACTACAAATCATTACCTCTGATTTCAATGTTTTTAAACACTCGGATAAATCTATCCTAAGGCTAATGTCACTTGGTCCATGAATTCGGTCAAGAGTGCAATTATTTGATGTACGTATCAAATAAACACAAATATACGCACGATTCCCACCGACAATTAAAATCACTGCACACGACCTATCGGTTAATGAGTATACTGTGGCGTCTGTTGGCGCTTAGATTAATTTGAGAAACGCTTGTATTCTTCTTTTAAGAAGAATATTTAAAAAAATTTTCTTAAAATTAGAATATTTTTAAGAGAATTAATTTAAGAAAATTACACTCTTAATTTAAGAATATATTAAGATAAATTTTAAGAATTTTTTTTTAAGAATATAATTTTCTCAAAATTAGAATACCGTTTTTTCGGTGTGGGAATAAAGGCAGCCAATTTGCATAACGAAACCAAGAGACCTCAGAGCTCTTGAAACCACCTCAGAGATATGTTCATTAAAAGAGAGATCACTTCTCAGAAGTATTCCCAAATCACGGATACTAGTTACCCTGTCTAAATCATCTCGACCAATGGAGTAGAGATAATTCAAGGTAATGCCCTTAGAAACTGAAATTACAGAACTTTTGTTCATGTTTATTGGCAAATGATTATCCCCACACCACACATCGAGACGATCCAAATTCATCTGATTGCTAAGAGAATTTAAGTTTTTTTTGTATCTCCTTTTATTTCCGAGATATGATTAAAAAAGTGATGGCATGTTTTTTCATAGAATCGTGTGTAATCGTCCTGATACTCGTGGACGGTAGTGTATGTTTTTATTTTATTAACATAAATAAAATTAGCACTGTTTTATGTGAAACGCAATTTATACTTATAATTTTCGTTGGAACATACAGTGGGACACACACACGTCGGAACACACACTCGACTGTTATTTAAATTTTTTATACAGGTTATACCAATCTACATAAGTCAAAGTACCTTTTTGGCAATTTTTACTATGAATAATAAAATATTATTGGATCTACTGTGCTTTGAATTCTAATTTGATAGGTTCGTTTTAGGATCAAAATAATAAAAATAGTTCAAAACTAGTAAAGATTTTATAAAATTTTACACTTGATTCCTGAACAGGATAAACATTATAGTGAGTTCAAAAGAAGAAACATTAATAAAAATGTTCAATACTGTGAGATGAGAAGTGATTTCTCCTTGTCTATCCTCAGCCAAAATTAAGGATACAATTGACAAGCACCTTCGGAACGATTTTCCGTATAAGATTACTATTTAATATTTCTCGCGATAAAATACAACAAAATCCGGGGCGCCAGGTCTACACATAGACCAACGCGAAATCAACAAAACGACAAAATCTTATATACACGAAACGACAAAGTCTCAAAATTAATCAAATTAATAATATTCGGAGAATCGTGTACCGGAAATCGACACCAAATTATACTCGGCTACTCAAAATGTCGGAGAGGTGTGGTGTTCTTAGGAAATTATTCTCGTAAAGAAAAACTTCGAATTTAACATAATGAAAAATAAGATTTATTATAATCCAAAATAAAATCTTTTACAAAAATTTCTCGTAGATTTAAAACAAATTCAAAATGAAACCATTTTTACGACTCTACGTAAATAATTCACAACAAATAACGCAACAATTAACGCAACAATTAACAAATTTTATCCCTAACGCAATTTCTCGCCAACGTCTTCCGCAATCCTTACACAATTACACAATTAACCTCGAAATTCGACGAATAGTCAAAATCTTACCAAGAGCAAATCAGATATGTGAATTTAACTAGAAATTAATTGGATTTTTTTTTCTACGCGACTCGAAATCAATAATGGAGATCGTCACTTTAATTTACCACGTGGCAACTCGATCGAATTGATTTTAGTAATCGTTACGCAACAAAATGTGATCTCAATAAAATTAACTAAATTTCGATCGAATTACCAAGAGTATTCTATAAGATTTTAAATCGCGAAATATACAATTTTAGAGAAGAGAAAAGAGAGAGACCTTACCCTCGTCCGAAGAAACAGTCTCACGCTAGTCCAAACTTCCAAGATGACTCAGTTAGACTCAAAAGACTCAGTTACGATACAGAAAAAAATTTAGATTTGACTTTAATTAAACAACAAAACACTAAATAATTAAACAAAACTTTTGGTTCTCGAAGACGGCTTCACAAAGATCCAACGAAGATTGTCCATGGCGATGGGTCGGAAGACGAGGCGAAAAAGAGATGGATTCCCTGGATCCTCCTGGTTTTATTGCTTCAGGTGGTCGAAATCCCCACCATAATTGGGTGATTCTCACGTGACGTGACGTAGACTCGGTTGGTAGTTAGAGGCCTTGCTGCGCAAAATCCAAACTTTGGCATTATATTCTTCTTGAAATATTAAAAGGCAGAAAATCTCTTAACGTATTTAAAACTATAAGTTTAGTTAAATCAATTTCCCAAATATTTCAGAATGAGAGAATTAGCTTGTTTGATCAACTCTTAAAGTTGTGAAGAAATTGGCGGCAACCTGGCGTCAGCTCCGCTGGCATGTTTCCGGTGTCGTTTTCTTACTCCACCAATGAAAATTCGGCATCGAGGCTCACCTGGCAATACGAGGGTCTCGCGACGATCCGAAAAGAAATCCAAACTCAGACTCATCACTAAAATTTAGAATCTTGTCCTTGTAGGGATATTATAATTGACCGAACTCCAAAATGTTGTCTCGGTCACGCAAAATCGGCAAAATCCAACAAACGGAAAGAAATTCCGGAAACTCCATTGCGACACCTCCGCTGGTAGTTAGGTTGGCCACACTGTAGGTCTCGCACCAGATTTGAAATTGAGAATCCACCACGCAACTCGGATAGTGTAGATTAACCAAGAAGTCCAGATCATCTCTCTAAGCCACTCGGTGTCCCTCGCAGCTCCGTAGATGGTCCAAGTGATGAGTAGTACATGAAATTAATACCCGACAATAGTTAGAAACGGGAAACAGAACGCAAAATTAACACAAGAATTCA